TAAGAACGCAGATTTTCAGGCCTCGGAAGGGCAAAGTTTATAATAATTTCTACTATGTTCAGTTATCTGTTTGATATAAAAATATAATTTCTAAAAGACAGATTAACACCATTTATCAGTTTTCAAATGCACCAAGTATGACTATAATAATAGTTATGAATGATGCAACATGTGCGTGTGTGTGGAGGCAGTGGAATACAAGCATCGTTGGTGTTAGACAACCTACAAAATATTTACACCTAATATATATATTTACTGTTAAAGATGTATCTTATTTACAGTCAGTATTCAGCCATTATTTACAGCCAGTATTCAGTCATGGATCCTTTAGTCTGTATAAATAATCCAAGATGAAAGTTTAGAAAATATTTGACTATGCTTTATCTGATTTTGAAACGACTAAACGGTATTCATAGCTCTTGGCAATAACAAATCATACTTAATAATTAAAATAGTTGTTATAATGAACTCTAATATTAGATCTTTACTTACATTTTTCAAAAATACTTTATGATGAAACAAATATTTACAATAAAGCTGTAAAATTACAATACAGTTAAAAAACCATTGAGTTTGTATTGAAAGTAAACCTAAACAACTTTTCCCTCCTTTGTGTTCAAAAACAACACCTCCAACTACAAGTATACAGGAAGTTAAGTTTCCCTTAGAATATTTATTTAATTATTTACATTGCATAAACTTTACACTCTTACAGTCATTGTAACTTGAAATGACAAGGACATTCCCCACTTGTACTTCAAAAAAATAACGCATATTGTTTGCTGAAATGTTAATATTATGCTAAGGAAAAAAAATAAGGTTATCGTCAGCTCAGAATTATGATAAATATTGATTATATTATTTAAACCTGTTTATTCTCTTTGCAGTCGCTAAATAGAGGTTCTTGTATTTACTCAGATGTTAATAACCAGAAGTCCAGATGTCTGGTTTATATATATAATTATTCAAGTCGAAGTACGTAAACTTATTTCTGTATCTAACTCTCATCTGACGGGAAATATTTTTACTTATAAATCAAAGTAAAAACTTCATAAATCATTTCTAAAAGCATAATACAGATATGCAAGTACTTATTGTTTATTCAAAACTGAAACATCGTTTTTCTAACATATTAAGAAACAATTTGAACCCTATTTAAATACAAATCTAAAGTGATTGATAACTAAACCAAACTATACATTTCATTTTCACATAACTTCCTCGGAGAATATTTTCTTATAGCATTACAACTTACAATAGTTTGGATGTTATATGTTCATTTTTGTGTCCCCAGAAAAATCGTCATCATTAACATTCGAAAAAAAACTTAATTTATTCCAGAAATGTAAGCTTCGCAAGATAAAAGAGCGTTTGTAATCTTCACGTTTGACAGTTAAATGTTATCAAATTAGATGAAATAACAGAGAATTAATCAGGTATGCATTTTGTCTGTAGTTTCTACACAGTAAACAAAATTTCGTGTAACCCAAGCTGTAAAGGTAAAAATATCTTTTACTGTAGAGTTTACAAAGATTATTTACTTTCAATATTCACCTTAACAGGGTGAGTTTTTGGAACGTGATTCTGAAGTTTTTGTGTTTGTTCTTATCAGTTGACAAGCGACAAAACAACTGAGCAACTGCTGTGTAATAAATCATTTAACGAACAAGAAATCAAAATTTTAGCAAGAACCAGCGTTAAAAAGATAAGAACAAACCCTATGTTTTTGATTGCTATGTAATAAATCATTTAACGAACAAGAAATCAAAATTTTAGCAACAACCAGCGTTAAAAAGATAAGAACAAACCCTATGTTTTTGATTGCTGGAAATATCGCAGTGTTTAAGAGTTACACAAATTTCAAACAAATTTACTTTGAACATTAGTATAAACAAGTATTTTAGCTATCGAGACACAAACGACGCATAAATTTTCCAACTAGATCCGCTGTTTGAGCTTAATTTAATTCATTCAAACGAACGTGAAAATTTTTTCTAAAATATTCCAAATATGTAAGAATAATCTTTACCTTCTTTGTTGAGGTGTTCTATCCCTCTGGCGCCTATTTTTAAACCAGTTGCTAACTTGCGTCAGTGTTAATCCAGTTTTCTTCGCCAAATTTCTCTTTTCGTCTGGGGTAGGGTAACGGTTATGGTTATAACACTCTTTCAGTGCGATTCGGGATTTCTCTTTAAAACAGTAGATCGTCTCTTCTCCGTCCCAAATTGTCTTAGGTAGGGGATACTTTCGGCGGAGTCGATACTTGTCTACAGCTCCCAAAGGTCGGCCGCGGACTTTCTCGGCTTCTCGGTAGTGAGCCTTATACCACATCTGCTGAAGTTCGGTGTGATACTGGCTGTCGAAGTCATGGTTCTCCAAGATTGAATATAGTTCTTTGAAGTTTCCACGATGGAAAGCTACAGTAGATTGGGCCCTCAGCACCGACTGATTGCCTCGTAGTAGCTCGCTAGGCGGTAAGGACCAGAGGAATCGAGCTAGACGGTCAATGTCGCCAGCCTGACTGAGGGCCTCGCAAACACAAGCAACCTGTTCAGGAGAAAAACTCAGGTTTTTACCTGCCAGGAGGTCAGCTAGTTTTTGATTATTTACTGAAACTGGAGGATCGGTCATGCCGGCCATATCTGGATTTATGCCAGAATGACCATTAGCGAACCCCGGCGAACCAATTGAATGGTTTGTGATTGAAAGACAATCTGATGTTGATGTAATCGTTAATGTTTGGATGGAGTGACCCGGTAGTCCCTCATGACCTCTGCAGTGGTCATGCAACTCCTCAGTATCGACGCTTACAGCCGAATGAAAGTCTCCCGCCTGCATGCTTGGATTGTAGTTTACAGCTGGCGTGTGGTTGCGACGAAATGTGTCGCATGTGTTTGTTTCCGTCATCATTGCCTCGAGATAAAATCAGAAATACAGGACCACTTCAATTTAAAAGGAAGTATATTTATACCAGCTCCTAATCGAGACAGCCCCTTTAAATAAGCAGACTTACTTCCAGCCGGTAACTGTTTCCATCAGGCGGGCCTTGAATATCAAGAGAGAGCGTCGATTGGTCAGCGACTGCTAGCGAGCGCGACCGTTTGCGGTAAAACATTACATGTTTGCCTTCGCATCTTAAGAAATAATTTTTAGTATGATTAACTATCATTTTTAACTGTGTCTGAGCTACTTATTTCTTTACTTTTCCGATGCATCGGATAGTATTGCTATTTAAAAGTATACGTATTTATATAACGTATCTCTACATTATTCACCACGTTGAGCTAGAAAGAGGAAACTCATTGATCGCAGCCGTTTTAAAGTACAGGAACAAATTGTATCCAGAAACGCCAGAATCTAAAACTGGAAGTAAGTTCACCTTCAACGGGTGATCCGCTATTCAACTTCGTGGACCACAGCAACAACAAAATAACAGTCAGGTTGTTCATAAAAAAAAGAAAATAAAGAAAGAGAGAGAGAGAGAGAGATGACGTGTAGTTATTAAATATCATTATAAATATTGTCGGAATACATTTCTCAGTTTCACTATTTTATCATCATGCCACACAATGGTTAATTAGTTTGTGTCTGCAACAGGGATCGAACCACGAATTTTAGCGATACAAGTGCTGAAGCTTACTGCTGACTGTCCCGCTTGACAGCAGGTGTGCTATTGGGGAGCACCCACTTATCTAGGGGTGGGAGATTTTAGAAAAGGTGGTAATCCATTAATTCGTATTCACTGCTATTACACGTCAGTATGTATTAATTGATAAATCAAATGGCAGCGCATTATTATAAAACATTCACACGAATGTATTTTTTCCCCAGATTCTTTTTAATTAATGATATCGCAACTAAACCATTACAAACTTTTAACTCCGAGCTACTTATTATCATTATTTTAGCTTTAATTGTAATTTGTGATAGTTATAGGTTTGTATTTGACATATGTTGTTTTTTTTCATATTTCTCAGTGTAGTAACTGAAAGTGGGAGGCACCGGATCTAAACTGGACGAGTGATTACTCTCCCCCCCCCCCGAACGTACTTTTCTACGAGACCATAAATTCGGCAACAAAAATAATATTAACTTGATGCTATTATAATTATATACACAAATAGTTAATTCATTATCATATATTTCTATATATACTTGACCAGGATTGGTCCAGTAGATAGCGTTCTGGACTGTGAATCAGAGGGTCTATGGTTCCACATTTTGGAGCTGTTTGTGCTTTATAAGCGTAACAGTCAAATCCCAATATCGGGTGCCACAGAAACGAGCTCCGCAGCTTGGGACCGCGGTTAAATCCTGCTATTTGATCAGACAATAGTAGCTCTTTGATGGTGGGTGTTATTGACTAGCTAATTTCTCTTTATTCTATGACTATGACTAGATTATGAGCATATAGCGCAGATGTGTAACTTTGCACGAATTCTCTAATATTTACCAAAAAGAATAAACATTTTTTTGCAAAATGATAAAATCATTTAAATTTAATCAAAATAATTGAAACTTAATCACAATATAAAATATCTAAAAACTATAAATATTATACTTTATTTAATGTCTACATATTGTCAAACTCAGATAAAATATGAAATTCAATTAAAAACATTTTTGATGAAGGAATAAAATAAAGACACTCATGTAAGAAAGTAAACAAATAACACAGTTCAATTTTTTTTTCTGCGTCCCTTTAGAACACAAAGCTATAGAAAAGATATATACGCACAGCAGTACCTAATTTTGTAATAATAG